CCGGTTGAGAACTGATTTGTAAGATAGTTTCCCATTGCTTAATTATATTTCTTTTCTATTTTGTAATGTTTTTATGTAAATATTAAACTCCTCATTTCCTGCGAGATTATGGTTTTCCAGAGCACAAGAAGTAACAACAAGATTCACCAATGATTATTATTTTCGAATACTTTCTATAAAGCCAATAAAACATGTAGTTATTCTTGAGACATGGGACAAAATGGGTCCAGCAAGGGTAACTGCTATTAGCTTTAAAAATAAAAATATATTCAATTTGAAATGTCATGAGGGATTAATAATAGAATGTATTTAATACAATTATCACCTTCAATTTAATTTTCTCATTATTATACCAAATCGATGTTTCTTAATGTCCTCTCACTACATCTAAAACTGTGTGTCCACCGAGAAGGGTTCAATCATTCATATGCAATAAAATGGATAAAAATGTTTTTTTAATGTTAAAAAAGAGCTTGTTTTATCAAAAGCAACACTTAATAATATCTCCTATCAAAGCAAGGTTGTTTTTTAATGACACATGCATGTGTCATAAGATTTTAAAGTTGCGTCCCCACTTTTTGTCAACACCGTCAGACATTCAATAAAATGTAATAAAATCAGGGAATATCAGGGGCAGCTGTCACTCTAAAGGACCCCCTTGTCACAGTTCACCTCTGCAGAGTACATCAGTGTCAGACAGGCTCTGCTAAGTTTTAGTTTTAGAATATTTTAAACCCTAATGTTAATATTTCCTTTGTCACAGCCATGATATGTCAACACCAATTTCTGAGGAAATTATTTGAAATATTTAGATAATTTTATTCTCCTGAAGCGGGATCCATTAGCATCTAGCATCAACCGAATACTTCATTGGACATGTGAAAGTGTAATCTGTCTGCTAACACGAGAATGTGTTTTGAAATGTTAAAAACATCTTGAATGCTGTTAAAGATAAAGTTGAAAATATATTACAGTCCAAGGTAAAGCACATTTTGTTAAAAAAGAGAAAAGTTGGGAGGTTGTGTCAAAGCATAGCTCAGTAGCTTAGTACATATAAGATACATAAATGTAGTTTCATTTGTCTGAGGTTTTATTTTTTCAATTTTGCACCCTGTTTAGTCCTACTTCTCACGAATGATTAAATACATTCTTGACAGTCTGGTTGTGTGGGTGACATTTTTTTCTGCATAGCCAGTGGCTGTTTGTATTTGGGGGAGGGGCATTCTCATTCTAGAGAGCATTTGATTGGACAGAAGTCTGTGTAGTGCAAGATGAGTCATCAATATTTTTGTTTTCCCAATTCCCAAAACTGTAAATTGTGAATGCATATATCTGCTGAAAGTGAATTTTGAAGAGTTGTTCACACCATGAATGATAGCTACACTGTCACTGTCAAGTAAAAATGTACGAGAACTGTCAGTGATACCTTTTTAAAAGGTACAACTTTACACCTAATTTACCCCTAAAGGATGCATACAAGTACCTTAATATTAGCACCTAAAATGTACATATCAGTACCCAAATAGTACATATTTGTACAAAAACTTACCGCCTCAGTGACAGCTTTTGTACCTTTTTTCTGACTGTAAAGTTTTAACAATCACATGAAGGCTTTTGTTTTTCGGTTGCAAGTGTTCTTGTTTTGCCTGCTACCACAAACGGTGTAGTATTTACAGTTGTATTCAGTAAGCGAAAACGGGTCAAAATGATCCGAGGACAATAGAAGGTGTTAAGTGTATTTTTGCAGTAATTAGTTCTGCCACAGCATCTCTTTATGCTGCTACTTAGATCATATGCCTGAAGCTCCCCACAGGTGATTGGTGCCACTCACTGACCAATCAGGCGGCGTCTCGCTGCCATTGCAAAGTTATTAACCCTGTGGCAGTCTCGGACTGTCCCCGGGGTCTGCTTACAGCCTTAATCTGACGCAAATAACTCCTTCATTTCCCTGCCGGATCTCTTAACGGGGTTGCGTTGTCTTCATTTAACCGAGGAGATCCTCTAATCGCCGTGTCGAACGGAAGGCAAAGGCGCGAGAGAGACAGTATGTCTGACGACTGTGCCGTTTGTTTGCCAAACACCACCTTGATGCGTTACACAGTTACGCCGTCTGAAACACTGAAATACGGTGACAAATCCAGGACAGACCCGTGGAGATCTCTGGATCTAGAGATGGTAAGTCTCGACTATCTGTCTGCCTCCCGTTTAAAGTGGATTGATCGATTAATGTCGTTTGAATAACATGAGCGAGTCCAACTGAACTTGGCAGGCGAGCGTCAGCATATTCCTAACATCAGTCACATCAGCCCTGAAAATAAACTCAAAATACCTTCCTAAACAAGCTCTGTCTTGACAACGGCACACTTTGATAAAATGTCGGAATTGTATGATCGCTCGCGAGCTGTTTGGGGGTTGAAACGAAGCCGAAGGTGCACTTTTCGCGCAGGTTAAATATCTGCAGAAGGCTTTGACTGCGGATGGCCGCATCTTCTCCGCACATTAACTGCGAGTCTACGTGTCATCCTCTTTAAAAGCTCGCCTTGACTCGTTTTTTGTCCTGTCAGATATTTTTTTCCCGTGGTTAGCCAAAATAGGAGCAGCTTTTATATGCTCTTCCGCTCCGCGAGTTTCGTTGTTCGTTTGCGTAGAACCCGGATTGGAGTTAACGCACATAAGTGTGAACGGTCAAACGGATTTGCGCGAAGCGAGCGAAAATGCGTTATTGTTCAGTGTTTTAACATGGTGGCGCTATTGCAGATTTGCCTTTTATTCGAGGTAGGAAACAACAGGGAGCAGTGATATATCCCTTTGTTGGTACGAGAAAGCTGTGTGCATTTGCCATTATGTCATAATTTGGCTGTTGTCCTAGAGATATGGCAACACCTTCACCCTTGAGGTCAAGAGTATGGCCATTGCTCATGTTTATGTCAATGTGTGTGACAGGGATGGACGATGCCGGACGGATTGTTACCCCTCTGGAGGGTCAGACGGGTACGGCGGTGTGGGTCTTCTGGGAGCAGAGGTAAAACCACACTTGCACTAGATCCTATCTTGGGTGCTTTATCTTTGCATATTATAAAATCCCTACATAAACACATGTGATTTCATCATATGTTCTTGATGCATTGCTTTTTTTATAGTTGCACATTGTCAAATCTATATATTTTTGTTGCTTAATGTATTGTGGTCTTGTTATGATGTAAGTGCATTGATGTACGAAGGAGAACATATATACGAATGCTTTAGCAGACAGAAGGGGAATGGGAAATGTTTTTGCAGTGAAACGTGATCTTGTGGGCATCTCATTACCGCCATGAGGCACTTGTCTCTTTGCTTCTAGTGGGAATAGTGTTTGAGATTGTGCTGCAACATCACTAAGATCCTTTTCAAGGGAAATTATGGCTTTGTTGCCGTCTTTGGTAGGAATTTACAATTTTCACGTAAATTTTTCACGTCTTTGATATAAGCTGCAATGCTTCCCTGATGTTCCTGTGAAAATAAAGTCAAGTGAGCTTTGTCATTCTGCCATGTGTGGGGACATATAAAGGAACAAAATGTTGCGCCTCACAGGACCATACTGCTGTATATAAATATACATATACCTAACCTATTGGTAGAAGTAAGGTTACATTTTATGCAGCTACCAAATCATTGTATAAAAAGTACTTGATTAAAGGAATGTTGCTAGTTAAGTAGGTTACTCTGAATTGACATGATGTAATGAATTAGGTCCGTAACAAACCAGACGTTCACCTAAAAAAGTAATCTCAATTCAGAAGGATGATTGAATAACTTCGTACGTCAAACATCAAATATGACTTAAAAATTTGGGGGAAGTTGTGGCCTAATGGTTAGAGAGTTGGACTCGTAACCCAAAGGTTGCGGGTTCGAGTCTCTTACCGGCAGGGATTGTAGGTGGGGGGAGTGAATGTACAGCGCTCTCTCCCACCTTCAATACCACGACTGAGGTGCCCTTGAGCAAGGCACCGAACCCCCAACTGCTCCCCGGGCGCCGCAGCATAAAAATGGCTGCCCACTGCTCCGGGTGTGTGTTCACGGTTTGTGTGTGTTCACTGCTGTGTTTGTGCACTTTGGATGGGTTAAATGCAGAGCACTAATTCCTAGTATGGGTAATACTTGGCCACATGTCACTTCACTTTACTTTAAATCATAAAAAACTTTTACAGTTCTTTTTTAGCTTTTTTTCTTGGCCAATATCCACTGCATTTTTTAAACTGGGTTTAGAATATTTTTAAAGCAGTCCTTCAAGCGTTTTGATTAACTTGATAACTAGTTCCAATATTTAATTTCAACGTTGTAAGGTTAATATTGAAAAATTGTTGTTTTGAAACCCTCTATATAGTTTTTTTTTTTTTTAAATCTATACTTTTTTTTGTTGTTGAAAGAAATGAATACTTTTGCCTGGAAAAGGCATGTTACATTAAGAGTATATTAATTATACAATCTAAAAAATGCTGGGTTAAATATAACCCAGCGCTGGGTTAAAAAGGGACAAACCCAGCTATTGGGTTATATTTAACCCAGCATTTTTTAGAGTGTAGCATTATTATTATTATTATTATTATTTAATTTTACAGCTAATTTAGAAAGGGTTTTGTGACAAAAATGTGAAAAGAAACTAGATTCTGTAAGGAAGCTGGGAAAGTCTACTTTGCTTATTTGTTTTTATTTTGTTTTACGTGAAAATTTATTTTTCAAATACTTATTTTTCAACAATGAAACGCACCTTTTCTGTCATTAGGTCACCTGTTTTTTTCCTTGTGCTGTCACTGACTACAATTAATGATTTAGTAGAAAAGCACTTAATCGACAGCCAAATAGCCTAATCGTTTAAGAACGAGCGTCTTTGTATAGACTTTATTATTCTGTCGTCCTTTTCCCATATCAGTGAAATTCTCCAGCCCAGCGGTGAAAGACATGTTTTTGAAGAGGCGCGCTCTGCAGAAGGTATGGGTGTGGTTTTCACTCCCTCCCCGTCTCTTCGCGCGCCACAAGCGCATGCGTTGTAAGCCCATGTGGGAATGGCTGATCTGGGATCGGGGGGTTGGGCCGCTGAACACGAGCGGACCGTTAAAGAGTGTTTTTAATGTCCGCCATGTTAGCCATGGCGCACTGAGCCTGGAATCAGGGACCGGAGCGCTCTGGAAACACACACCGAGAGAGAGCGACCCACACCCGGCCTCGCGCCTCCGCTCGCCCCGCCAGCTCCACCGAGCGACCCGTGCGCTGCTGGACACCGAACCGGCATCATCCATGAGAACTTTAATCGGACCAGTAGGGAACACTAGGGGATCGGATAAATTTATGCTGCATCTCGAATTATAAAGAAAAATGAGTAAACTGTCGTTTCGGGCGCGGGCGCTGGACGCTTCCAAGCCTCTACCCGTCTTCCGCTGCGAGGACCTGCCTGACCTGCACGAATATGCGTCTATTAACCGGGCAGTGCCACAGATGCCCACGGGGATGGAGAAAGAGGAGGAATCGGTACGTTTTATTGCTCAGAGTCATGTATTTTGAAAATAATTTCATTATTATTCTCAGAGGCGCGTCCCTTGTTTCTCTGCGCCAGTGTACACAAAATGGCCGCCATTTCTCCTGCAGAAAAGCGTCAAATACGTCGCTAGGGTCTGAGACGGCCGAGGTTTCGTATTTTGGGCCCAAACTTTAGACGTTTTTCTTTACCAATATAACCTCGGAGGTGATTAATACGCAGTCTTATTGTCCATAGACGGTTTACGGAGTACAAAGGAGTCACGTGACCATGGGCAAAGCCACCATTTTGTTGATTATCTTAGCGCTCCGTCGAGGTGCAATACCGCGCGCTGCCCTGAGGGGGCGCCAATCTCTGCGCCCTTACTTATACAGCAATCACCAATTAAACACCCAGCAAAACAATCTGCAGTGTTCTCTCACATTTGAACGGTTTAAAATGGCAGTTTTATTTTCTAAAGAGCCATAAGCTTCAGTGAGAATAGTTGTCATGTAAATTAAAGCATTAGTATATTTCTTTGTAATTGGATGCGTTTCTAATCAAGGTATACTCTCTTGAGAAGCATTTACATTTATGTGCATTGTGAAATGCATTAGTGAATGCATCTGAATTGAGAGAGGAAGCCTATCTGGCCCTACCGGTCTGTTTAGGTGTATGCAATGATCCGTCTGACCGGTGCAGGGGCGCACGAGGGCCTTTTGTTTTGTTTTCTCAACACAAGCAACTGGAGCTCTTGACAGCTGCATTTCATCTGTACATCCACATCATGCAAGCAAACATGATGCACAGCTCTCATGAAAAGCGGTCTTATCTTTCGGCAGCTATTCATGTGGAAATATTTATATCCGATCCATTAAAGCTAAATTAGTTCCCTCATGACATTCGTCTGTGCATTTTTGTATTTGTTTCTCATAATGCATAAAAATAAAGCAAAATGTTTTAAACTGAACTGTAGTCTTTCCACATATGTGATTTTTAACATATGTCTAGAATGAGAACACTTCACATTTTCCGCACAGCTCTGATAATATGTGCAAATGTAAACATGTCTGTCAAAAAGCGATGGTGTTAAAATGCTGGCTAACCTCAGCACTCGGGGGCAGGTGTCAAAAGTAATGCTCTCTCTGGTGTTTGTGTGCGGGACGGTGGAGTGAAGGTGCTGCTGTCCCATTCAGAGTGTTTTATGATATACTAATAATGGGGTATCTGGGGGTCAGAGTGACCACAGGCTGTCAAATAATTTGCTTGGTCAAATTAGTAGTTGATCTATGTGGATTTTTAATGCTGGATGTGACTCATTACAGTGCACATAATTTTATATTGGTATAACAATCAGTGATTGTGTATGTGTACGTAGACTACAATATTACCTAATTTTTGCATAAATGAAAAAGGTCAGTGTCTGCTGTCTGGGATTGGAGTGTTGTTTTTGAGCACGTGTAATTGTTTTGGTTCGGTTTGCATCTGACAGATCCAGCTCTGCTGTGTCAGGGCTTTCCTTGGAGGGGGCTAGGCATTGGTCACAATTGTCGATTAGTACAGTCTGTATCTATGTTTTGGTGGTTTTAGAAGTGGTACCTTATTTATTGGGCTGACGATGGGCTTCTGCTGTTTTCAATTTGCATATTAAAGCGTCTTTTCTATTTAAACTACTACTACTCACCTGGCCCCTGCATTGTTCTTTTACTGTTGTGATGCTTTGAGATGTGCTGAATTGATCAGAAATGAGATACTACTTTTACATCTATTTGGTTTTTAGGGCAAAATGTTATATATCACTGTATTTGTGTCTATATAGCTTTTCTGTCTCGCATAAATGCATCAATGCTTGTATCTATTTTGCATTTACATGTGCAGTATTTGGCGACTATAAAAAATAACAATTATGCACAAGGCAGTCTAAATAAGCTCAAAATGGATAAAAAAGTTAATTATCCAGCAAAAATATCATAATGCATGATGTGAAGTGAAAGTGAAGTGACATGTGGCTAAGTATGGTTACCCATTCTAGGAATTAGTGCTCTGCATTTAACTCATCCTAAGTGCACACACAGCAGTGAACACACACACACCGTGAACACCCGGAGCAATGATGATTGTGTATATAATATTGATCTTTTTTTTATTAAAATGTGCATTTATATTTTGCAATGCATGATGATAGCCTATATCTTATGTGACCCTGGACCACAAAACCAGTCATAAGGGTAAATTTTTTGGAAGCTGAATAAATAAGCATTCCTTTGATGTATGGTTTGTTAGGATATGATAATATTTGGCTGATTTGGTTTGAAAAACGTTTGAAGGTGCAAAACAATGTCCAAATGAAGTCCTTAGCAATGCATATTACTAATCAAAAATTAAGTTTTGATATAATTACGATTGGAAATTTACAAAATATCTTCATGGAACATGATCTTTACTTAATATCCTAATGATTTTTGGCATAAAATTAAAAAAATCAATAATTGACCCATACAATGTATTGTTGGCTATTGCCAAGAGCAAGAGTAGTGCAATAGAAATTTGTTTTCAGTTCTTTTTTTTTTTTTCTTTTTTTTTGTGCATTAAGATTCTGTTATATGGTGTGTTTTTTTTTTTGGTGTGGTTGAAATTCAGCTCTTATATGCTGCTGTGAAATGAGTGTGAAACTCCAAATAATATCTTCAGAGTTTGTTTAAATGGTAGATGAACTGTTGCCAACTTCATTCAATGGAAAGTGGCCTGCTCAAAGTTGCTAAATAATGTAATTCGCTGATTAGCATATTATTGACCGATTACATCATATTTGCATTCTGCCTAGTGTCAGCTTTTTATTTGTTTAATTTTTAATACAGGCAAATTTGCAGTAAAATAGTTTTTGTTGTCAGACAATGGGATGAATACAATATATTTACTAGAGTTGTCACTAGGCCTTTTTTTTTGCTAAAGAGGTCTGAAGTGGCAGGAGAAGAGGCTAAATTGGCAACACAGTCACAATACTGGTCACCATCCAGCCAAACCCCACACTTGCATTTGCAATTTAACTAGGCTAAATCTTATATTCTGTGTGTGCATGTAGGAACACCATCTCCAGCGGGCCATCTCTGCTCAGCAGGTGTACGGGGAGAAGAGGGACAACATGGTGATTCCTGTCCCAGAGGCTGAGAGCAACATTGCCTACTATGAGTCCCTCTACCCGGGGGACTTCAGGATGCCCAAACAGCTCATTCACATACAGCGTGAGTCATTCAGCCTTTATCTAGACCAAATATCTCATTCAGCTTGAGGTTTGTGTGTCCTTCACGCCTTTACTACTGACTTCACTGAGCTCTGACACAAAAGGCAGCAGACAGGGAATAACACATTCGTTTCATGCTTTTAAGAGCCATTCAGAACTGATTTGGGCACTGGTAAATCACTTCTTGTAATAGAAGAAAATAACTAGTCAGATATATTATTTGAAAAATTATTTGTCAACATACGACACGGAAGATGCTCTGATTTGAATTTACAACATTTATTTTACCAACCAAACATGTTAGAAGTACACACACATAAATTTAAATAAAGATGAACCCTGACTGGCCGGCCATCGGTCCCTTTCTCTGTGTCGGACTTAACTTTGTTTAGTTTTCGTCTTCTAAATCAGTGTTTCCCAACCTTTCTTTAGTCATAGCACACTTTGGAAATTTTTACAAATTTGTGGCACCCTACAAAATTAATTTGGTCACAATATTTGAATTTCTAACTTCGATGTGATAATTTGAAAAGTATAGATATTTGGTACAACAGAGAAGAACTGCAGAATATACTGTCATACAGATATTTTTAATATTATAAATCAGTAGGCTAATTTCTAATGAAGAGACCAATTTATATGACAGATTTTAATGTAGGCTTTTATTCATATGTAAACATTGTGATAGTTATAATGGTAATTAAACAAAGTTTTGCTCACTCAGTGTATTTTTGTAGGGCTATTAAGAGTTTTTTTTTTTTTTTTCCAATTATCCAGATAATGTTTAATCTTAGAAAGCTATTATTATCAGTAAACATGAGCATAACGGTTAGCGGATCAATGAATGAGAGGGCAGCGTTACCAGAGTTGCCCATTTACCACACCTTGTTAAAGCACAGTAGGGCTATTGCAGACAGAAACAATACTGTATTTCATCGATGTTTCCTGTCAGCTCGATTTTTGAGTGGACTTTGCTGTTCCGATGAGCATGAACGGTATATGAATGGAGCAGTCACATGGGCCGCGAGCGACTGAGCGGAGCACACACGCACATAAAGCGGGATAAAGCACACACAGCGGGATAATACCATACAGTCTATGGATAATGCACACGCGCATAGAGCGGAATCACACACACACACACAAGTGAATCCTGAGCGGTGAACTCATTTTCGGCAGCCGGAATTTCTGTGCATCTCTAATTATTGGCGGCATTAGAAATGGATATTATATAATGGCTGCTTTTTTGAACATTTTAGCAATTTAAAAATATATAAAAAATTATTGTCGTTTTTATTCGTCAACGATATTGCATTGTACATTTAATTATCGTCATCATCACATGACCAGCATTTTCGTCTCGTCTCGTTTTCGTCACGTGATAAAGGTTCGTTGACGACTATATTTAGCCATAATTTTCATTGATGAAAGCAACACTACATACAGGTAAGATTGAATGGCTGTCAGTGGGGAAAGATGCTATTTACAAGTCTAACCAGCAAAAGGATTATCCATGATGGTTCAGACAAACAAATAGCCCCAAACTCATGTAATTGGAGTCAGTGTTGCAATGTCAGTCTGCTCAAACAGGTTGCAATTCAATTTGGTGCTGCAATAGGCACAGAAGTTAAGGGTTGCACCTATAATAACTACATGGTTTGTAGCCTGCAATGAAACTTGGTTTATCATGGTTTTGGTTCACAGTAAAACATCTCTAACTCTGTTTTTCTTTTTTTGTGCCCTCCAAACTGGTCCTGCTACATACAGCATTCAGTCTGGACACCGAACAGCCGGATTATGACCTGGACTCTGAGGATGAGACATTTGTAAATAAACTGAAGAAGAAGATGGACGTGGGAGCCCTGCAGTTTGAAGAGATGATCGACCGGCTGGAGAAAGGCAGCGGACAGCAGGTAACGGTGGTAGGCAGAACCGGGAATTTGGATTTTAGTTGTGGTTTTGAACTTGAAGCTTTAAAAAAAAAAAAAAAAAAAAAAAAATTCTTGAAACTTTAAAAAAAAAAAAAAAAAAAAAAAATTATGGTTGCTATGGTGTTGATCTGTATTCTTAAGGTGGATTTCGTTCTGTAAAAACAATAGAGTATAAATATCAGGTAGCTTTACATATAATAAAATTTTTTTTACATATGCATGTTTATTTATTTGACAGATGCTTTTATCCAAAGTGACTTGCGTTGCATTGAAGGTATATGTTTTATCAGTCTATGCATTCCCTTGGCATTGCTAGTGCTGTGCTTTGCGGTTTAGACTACACAACTGCTTTAAATTGATAACATTTGCAGATAAGGGTGTAGCAGTAACATGTTTTGCTTGCTGCGGGGAAATAGTGTATATTTGTGTCTTGGTAATAAGCATATTCAATGTTTAAATGAATGAAGAGTTTTCTTGCCTGCGCTAGTGTTTCTGTAAGGGCATGCTTGTTCTGCAGCAGATTTATGGGTAAATTTGTAGGACATGTAGAGCTAATGATTATTCATGGACTGATGTATGGGCCAGGCCATCTGATTAGCAGTTACTGATCCGTTCTGATCTATTGTCAGCCTCATCAATGTGTAACACCATCTATTTAAATGGTATAGAGGGTGAATTATGTTGTTGTTGTTTGAGTCAAGGCTCAACAATATGGACAGAACTTGCCCTATCAGACATTGTCACCACCACATTTTGCCTTGAACTACTGTTCAAAAGGTTGGGTTCAGTAAAATTTTTGCAAATATTTTTAAGAGAAGTCTTATGTTCACATTAGGGCTGAAACGGTTCCTCGAATACCTTGAGTAACTCGGAATACAAAACAAATCGAGGCTTCGTTTAGTCCATTTACTGTAACTACACACAGAACACCGTGTTTCCCCACGGACCATTATTACTGACTGACAACCCGATAAACACTGGACCAGACCATAGATGATAGACTGTATAAAAACAGGGACCAGACTTTAAAAAGAAGCGCTTGACATATTTAAAACCGTAAATCAGTATGGTGGCTAGTTATAATGTCCCTACGTTAGCTATGTTTTGTGAAAGACTAAACACCATTGTGCATCACGTGCGTGCTTTCACATGGAGCAGCATTTACTACACAGAGCTGCTGTTCACTGACAATCTGCGCAAAACCACGATCATATATGCACTGATTACAGAACTGGCTTTTAGGGCTGGGCGATATGACAATATTATCGTATATCGACGATGTCTCGTAAGTATCGCGATGTCAACGGTCAGGTAACAGACGATTATGGTCATTATGGGGAAAAAATGACAAATGATAAACCTAATAAGTTGCAAAAAATATTTTACATGGGTAACAGACGATTATCGACGTTTATCGGGAAAAAATTACAAATGATAAACCTAGTAAGTTGCAAAAAATATTTTACATAGCCCCATAGTCACCATACAGGTTTTCTGTATGCAAGAATGAAATAATTTATTAGGAGGGTTGGGAATCGAAAAGCTATTCCAGTTTCGGAAATCGGATCAGATGCGGAAGGTCAGGAATAGACTTGTGCCGGTATTCGGTAATGCGATGTATCACGGTAATGAATATGCATGATATTGTTATCGTGGGCACCTCTAAATACCGTGAATAATTATATATTACAAATTATTCCGAATTTTGAATGCCTTTTAAGAGTACTTTTCTCATCAACTGGTCAAAATGCACAACACCGCTGTATGTTGCGTGAAAGACGCGTGCGCACTTTGCCGTAAACAAGCGCGGACGAGAAGCACATGGTGGAACATGTTAGAGACGCTCTGGATGAAAGCGCACTTTCACGCTCTGACAGCAGATGGCACTAAACTGCAGAAATAATAATAATTATAATAATAATAATTCATTTAAATGCAGCCGTTACCCCGGAAACCCTGTAAACAAAGCAGCTGCTCTACTTTCTGTTTCTGAATCGTGTTTAAATGATTTAAACAGCCATTCAGATTTGTGTATTTGCTATGATGTTCATCACAGCGCCAAATACTTAAATATTTAGACTTAATAGGCTATTTGTTTTCAAACTTTTTTACATTTTAATCTGGACTACAACATGCCCTAGATATTGTTTGAAAGTGTTTTGATTCTTTATTGTTCGGTCACACTTTACATTAGGGCTTCATTAGTTAACATAAACTGCCAATGAAAAATTCTTCTGAACATTCATTAATCTTAGGTATTTCAATATTTAATAACAGGTTGTTAAAATCAAAAGTTGCAACTGTGTTATTTAATGAGCTAACATGAACTAAGACTTGTATTTTTTTTAAACAAAGATTAATAACTTCTGTAGCAAATGTAGCTATTGCTCATTGTGAAT